TAAATGCCAAATTGCACCAAAATATAAAAACAATCAAAATAATCACGGCGGCGCGCTTAGGTGGGGGTTTTAAAATAGTCCGACACCTCGAATAAATCGCACAGTTTTTATATGGAGACGATGTCTTCCGATTAAATATTTTGGGTCTAACACGTGACCTTATTAAATATTATAAGTGCTTTAGAGCGACGTGCATCCGATCTTGAGTAAGACTTGAGCAGAAATAAATCATCTGCTTAAGCCGGAAATCTAATTAGATTAGGAAAACTTATTTTTGGCAAATGAAAAGCTTTGGAATGCAACAGCTGCGCATGGGCAGTCGGCTGAGTGCAAGGCTTTTAGAGTTGCACTCCTACGATCGCGTCCAGGATAAATGAGCACGTTCCCTTGGAAGTTTTACAATAGGGTCCATAATAATCAGTACTCATTTCATTTGGGTCAAAATACTTGCACCCTCACAAAGGTTGAAAGTTGAAGGCCGAAATAAGCAATTCGCTGGTTAAATTTCACTTTCAAACTTTAGCACAGTACCTGTGAAGTCGACTTTGGCTCAGGAACTTCCCTTTGGTCGACTTGACTCATCCTCCAATAATCCAGTTGACGTGGCAGCAACACAACACAATCCCCAGTGCAGAAACAACAACACGACCGACGCGGTTCCGCACAAATTAAAGTTTTCATTTTTAAAAAACAAGCAAGTCCCAGCTCGGGCGCCGATGAAAATTAAAATATGATTTTATATAAATTGTATAAAAACGAAGAAAAATGGGACGCTTGCTTTTAACTTTAATATAGAAAATGACGAAACGATGCGGTGGCGATTGTGCTTCTATTTAGTTCTATTTTACAACTAACTTAAAAATTCGGCTTACATGCTAAACTAAGCATAAGCCTTAAACTATCTTAAACTATCTTAATCTAAAGCAGCATCTGCGCCAACAACATTTTCTTTTCGCATTTAAAGGTTGCTTTCCTATATCTATACTACTACTGCGACTCCTCCTTTCTAACCTTTAACTATCTCTAACCAAACTAAACTAAAAATCTTCCAATTCCCCGCCACGCGGCTTACTTCCACTCCGAGAACTGAAGATGAACATTCTCTTACTTAAACACTACACTTATGATCTAAACTTATTACTACTACTCGTGACGACGCGTTCCATAGCACACAGTCGTTATATAGTGATCTTCCATAACACCCGTATTTCTAGGAACGTACGCATACTAATATTTTGCAAATGCCCCCATCGTCTGGACCTCCCCAGGGACTAGCCGGAAACTACAGCCACATACTAAATGAAATAATAAACTCTGAAGTTTATCTTTATACAATTTAATGATTGTCCATGATGGACAGTTTTAAATAAAATACGAAAAAAAAGTGTCCGTATGACAAGTTTCACTATGATATACCAATATAACAAGAAATTATAGCCTTAAATATAATTGCTGCTCAAGCGCTGCTGCAGCTCTGCCTGCGGCTGTTGATGCTGGTGCTTTGGTTGACTGCACACATGTTTACACAGACACGAATAGCTGCGCACTCACACAGACGCAATTGCTATGTAAATGTGCAATTATAAACCCTTTACGTGAGTTCCAATACCGAGAGAGGTAAAATCGATCAAATTTTTTTTTTGTCTTAATTTTTTTATTTTCTATAATTATTGTAAACATATGTACAGAGTATTTCAAAGTCGGGACACCCGACTTTAGCTTTTTTACTTGTTTTAATTTATTTTATTATTCTAACTTGAAAAGAGTAGTGCACTTTTTTACTTGATTTTAAATAAACTTCGCGAAAAAGATAAAGGCGGAGCTTAGGTAGTTACAAGATATTTTAATGAAGGGCCCGCTCGCCTCTAGCATTCCATTATGGTATGATATTATGTGATATTGTAGAGTATAATATAATGTAATATATTACAATATAATAAGTAATAATCATTTGAATGAAGTCCAAAATAAGACACGGCAAATGTAAAACGCAAATTTATAAATTTTATTACTTATTAAAAATAAACTATAAAAAGTTGTAATATTTTGAATTTGATTCTCTTAAATTTCCATCATATATTCATTATAAATATTTTCAAAAGTTTCTCTTAAGGATGGAGGCGATACTGAAATAGAATAAAAATAATATTTTCTGCTGTGTATCTTAAGTTTATGAAGGATATGTTTAATCGAGTACGTGTAACTCGAGAGCCAAAAAGTTACAGTTTGACAAGTCAATCTCCTGTAATAAAACATATTAAAAACATATTTAATAATTATAGTATTAAACTATTTGCACTGCTGAATCCGAATCCGATCTGAGCATTATCTGGAGACAAAGAGTGTCCTGTATACAATTCACAATATTCATAACGTCGGAAAAATACACATAAAGCATGTGCCGTAAGCAAAAATCTCAATAATTGCTTTTGTGTGCACAGTCCAAAGAGAAAGTGAACAAGCACAAAACTGTTACGGTGAGATCTAACACATGCTCAGTAGTTGGAACGAGCAATAACCGAACAAGTTATCAAACAGTGTAACATATATATATATATATATATATATATATTTATATATATATATATATATATATATATATATATATGTATAATATGTATTTTGGGGACCATTAAATTTTGCCATTTTTTTTATAAAATTATATAAATTGAGCACTTAAGATGGCTTTCACAAAATTTTGGACCTATTGAACTGTTGTGTCGGAAAATAAAGGTAATAATGTGGCCAGATGTATTTTTCGGGGACACCTTATGTAACGTATATTTTTGGGACGGCGTCCCTGAAATCAGCACTGCGCAACAGCTCAAATATATGTATAAAAAAAAATTTTGTGTAAAGTTGATTATGGGGACAAAAATGTGGAGTTGCCACTCGATGCTTATAAGTATGCGAAAGGTTAATTTTAAGGACCGAGGGGGTCCCTGAATTGATAGTGTCGTTTCCCTCCGTATGTACTGCGTTCATTTTGAGGACAGTCCCCAAAATTGTCGATACAAAGAAAATAAATATATACTGTTCCCAGAAACTGTTCCTATTTACTGTTCCCAGTCCCCATAATGATTGTTTGGTACAAAATAGTACATATATACTTGTATATACAACCATTACAGCGGTTAAGGAAGGTTTTTTAGTAGAACAATATTGATTGCTGAAAACAACATATAATGCAAGTTTGGTACAAAATATGAAAATCTTTTTTAAATAATAGTACGCACAAAACAGTAGGCGGTACATTGTTCTCCCTCTATCCAACATAGTAAAGCCATCGTAAGATAAAAGAATCAATAGAAAAGTCACTCTCAAATTATAGTTTGACCGCTTTTTTACATATGCTTTCTCGCCTCAGCTTTCCTCAGCTGCGCCGCAAATAATAGTTTGAACGCTCTTTTACATATGCCAATATTTTATATTTCTATAAGAATACTTGTATCTAGTCTTACTCTTACTTAATACTTGGATAATATAGATTTCGTACATATGTGTGGTATATAAATTTTATTGTTTATTACAAAAAAGAAACGAAATTTAATCAAAATTCTTAGCATTACATGTGCTTTCTCGCCTCAGCTTTCCTCAGCTACGCCGCAAATAATAGTTTGAACGCTTTTTTACATATGCCAATATTTTATATTTCTAAAAGAATACTTGTATCTAGTCTTACTTGTATTTAATACTTGGATAATATAGATTTCGTACATATGTGTGGTATATAAACTTTATTGTTTATTACAAAAAAGAAACGAAATTTAATCATAATTCTTAGCATTATATGTGCTTTCAACAAAGAAACGAAATTTAATCAAAATTCTTAGCAATACATGTGCTTTTTCGCCTCAGCTTTCCTCAGCTGCGCCGCAAATAATAGTTTGAACGCTTTTTTACATATGCCAATATTTTATATTTCTATAAGAATACTTGTATCTAGTCTTACTTGTACTTAATACTTGGATAATATAGATTTCGTGCATATGTGTGGTATATCAATTTTATTGTTTATTACAAAAAAGAAACGAAATTTAATCATAATTCTTAGCCTCAGCTTTCCTCAGCTGCGCCGCAAATAATAGTTTGAACGCTTTTTTACATATGCCAATATTTTATATTTCTAAAAGAATACTTGTATCTAGTCTTACTTGTACTTAATACTTGGATAATATAGATTTCGTACATATGTGTGGTATATCAATTTTATTGTTTATTACAAAAAAGAAACGAAATTTAATCATAATTCTTAGCATTATATGTGCTTTCAACAAAGAAACGAAATTTAATCAAAATTCTTAGCAATACATGTGCTTTCTCGCCTCAGCTTTCCTCAGCTGCGCCGCAAATAATAGTTTGAACGCTTTTTCACATATGCCAATATTTTATATTTCTAAAAGAATACTTGTATCTAGTCTTACTTGTACTTAATACTTGGATAATATAGATTTCGTACATATGTGTGGTATATAAATTTTATTGTTTATTACAAAAAAGAAACGAAATTTAATCATAATTCTTAGCCTCAGCTTTCCTCAGCTGCGCCGCAAATAATAGTTTGAACGCTTTTTTACATATGCCAATATTTTATATTTCTAAAAGAATACTTGTATCTAGTCTTACTTGTACTTAATACTTGGATAATATAGATTTCGTACATATGTGTGGTATATCAATTTTATTGTTTATTACAAAAAAGAAACGAAATTTAATCATAATTCTTAGCATTATATGTGCTTTCAAAAAAGAAACGAAATTTAATCAAAATTCTTAGCAATACATGTGCTTTCTCGCCTCAGCTTTCCTCAGCTGCGCCGTAAATAATAGTTTGAACGCTTTTTTACATATGCCAATATTTTATATTTCTATAAGAATACTTGTATCTAGTCTTACTTGTACTTAATACTTGGATAATATAGATTTCGTACATATGTGTGGTATATCAATTTTATTGTTTATTACAAAAAAGAAACGAGATTTAATCAAAATTCTTAGCATTACATGTGCTTTCTCGCCTCAGCTTTCCGCTGGTTATCTAACCATGTCTTCAGCTGCGCCGCAGAACGATTTTTCAAATATGTCGAGTTTTTAATTACGTTGTTGCACTGTTTGAGGGACGGCAGATCCTTCATGGTTTTTGCATTACCGAACGCTTTCATCATTTCAAAACGCTCCTCTCTCGTCCAACGTACCCGTTTTATAAAACCAGTGGGCGACCCTGCAAAAGATCAAAAATTAAAATTGAATGTGTAATAATAATAAATAATAAAGGTGACCGGACCTACAAAATTTTTACTTAAGTATATTCAATACTTATAAAATAACTGTGCTCAATAAATTAGAAAATATACAACCAACAGTTGTAGGATTGAATATTACAAATTCTTTGCTTTGTAAGCGTGGTACAAATTGTCAGTTAGAAAACTGAAATGATTTTAGGCAATTCTGTTCTCAAAATCCAAAAATATTGTCAACATTTTGAAGGCTTGTACTGGACAGATCTAGAAAACTGCTGTATGATGCTATTAGGCAAGATTATATTGGATAGCTCAGAAAAGACCCAAGATATTTTCTGCCTAAAAAAAGATGAATGTATTATGAGTTATTGGATAGATCTCTTCTGGATTTAATACAAAACTAACTGCATATAGCAAGGAAAAAATTGTTTTCAATAAGCCTTGCCTGCATAGTCGTCATGATTTTTCTACTATACGTACTATATTTTTCTAAAATTAAAGAAACGACGAGGTCAAAATAGGATTCATTTAAATAGGGCCAGCCGATAAATCCTACTTTTCTGATGGAATTTAAAAATTTTCTTCTTACTCAGGCCAATTTCCTAAATATCGATTCCCTGAATATGGTTACCATCGACCAGTACTGAATGTGTAAAAGTGATTATTATAATGATATGACTATAATGCATGTTCTGGGTTATAATACGAAATAATTAATCTTATAGATATACAATAATAGTTTGTTACAGTTTAGCGGCTACTGTACATAATTAATGGTAATTTCAAACTTACTGCTTCGGCGCTTGCGTATGGGCGTAATAAATTCCTCATCATTATTTTTGGTATTGTGATTGTCAGGCTTACAAACATTTTCTTCTTCAGAAAGGAGATCATCATCTACCACAAAAAGAAAAATAATGCATTTATTTTCGGTGTGTTTTTATACTCAAAGGGTAAAAGGCGTGGCAGACCCCATAAAGTATATAAGTATATTCTTGATCAGGATGACAAGCCGAGTCGATATAGCCATGTCCGTCTATCCGTCTGTCTGTCTGTCTGTATGAACGCAAGGATCTCAGAAAATATTAGAGCTAGAATAACCCCCCACTCCCCCCGCTATTCGCGATTTTCTATAACTCCCGTAATTCTTGGAACTTTGCACTAAAATTTGGTAGTTAGTGATTGTGTGTCAACTTTGTGCTGCATACACATACGCGCATATAAACACGCAGAGACACGATTCTGATGTAAATTTATTCTATTGAAATTGTACATAAACACTTTTGTATGTATGTATGCATGTGTTGAATATTTTATATTTAATTTAATTAATTATTTAAATTAATTAAATTTCTTAAAATACATTTTTTTAAATTTTCCTATTTTGTGGAGAGCTTTACTCTATTTTATTGTCGGGCTTGCTCGACTGTAGCGTTCTATCTTGTTTTTTTCTGAAAAGTATATGAAAAAAAAAAAATATCTAATTGCTTGGGAGTGGGGGTGCATCAGAAAAAATGAACAAAATGGATCTGTCTGGGTTAAGACAGGGTTTAAAAAAATACTAATAGAAACTTACCGAGAGGTTTTTGCGGGCAATACTCCTCATCATTTATGTCATTTATGTCATTATTTGCGGGCTGGAAGTTTTCGTCATCAGAAAGCGCTACATTTACGTAAAAAATTTGTTCGAAATATATTTTTAGTTTATACTTATTATTTTATGAATCGGTTATTTGTAACTTTCTGTACATTAATAGCAGTCGAGATCTTCGTATAAAATAACACAAGGACAATTAATTTAAAAACATTTTGTTAATAACAATATTATTACCAATAAAACAGCCTTAGCCAATTTAATATAAAACAAAAGAGAACGCTACAGTCGAGCACAGACAGTGTAATACCCTGTACCCAGGCAAATTTCCGATATGGAGCTATATGCGCCCCCTAGCTGCAGCAAAAAGAAGAAGAGCGTACCTGATGCTGCAGCTTGGAGGCGAAGTACTGGAGCGACACTGTTTCGCTAATAACTTTTCTTAGAATTGGCCGAATGGGATGAAATTTGAAACAAAAGTAGTTAATTATATTGCGTGTGCAAAATTTGGTTTATGCAGTTTTTGAAATGTAGACAGTATTGACGAAATTCTGTAGCGAAGGAAGGGGAGGGAATTTCAAAAAAATAAAATAAACTCGTCCTTTCTCGGACATAGGAGAATCTGGATACCAACTTTGGTTATTCCAGCTTTTATAGTTTCTATTCATTCATCGAGACAGACGGACAGACAGACGGACGGACATGTCTAGATCGATTTCTCTCCTCATGCTGATCAAGAATATATATACTATATGTGGTCGGAAATGCTTCCTTCTGCCTGTTACATACTTTGCACAAACCTAATATATCCTTTTTACCCTACGGGTACGGGGTATAAAAAAGATTTTCGGAATTTAATTTGAAGCTTATGCCTAGGGTCGTTCTAGAATAGCTTTTAGAGGGTAAGTATATTATTACTAAAGCTAAGTAAACTACAAAATAACAAACTCAAACAAGGACGACACTGTCCGACCACAATTAAGGTCAGCACATTAATACACACATTAGTACACATATTAGGTCAACATAAGTTGTTTCTGGTGTTAAAATAATAGTGTTCAAAGATGATGAGTTGACAGCTTAGTTTTATTAAATGGCAATTACGAGTTAATAGTGATTAGGGCTTGATGTGGAATAAAATTATTTATAAATAATTCTAATAAGAAGGTAATACATACTATTAGGGTCATTTTCATCATTATCAGCATTATCACTATTAAGTGCAGCCATTAATAATTGTGAGACTTGTGTTATTTCATCATAAGTTGCATTGACTCTATAAATATTTTTATGAATATCTTTGTTGTGACCCATAAACCCTGCTAGGCGATCAATTTGAGAATCTGCGACATTTAACAATGAAGTATATGTTGCTAAATGTTTACGCAACATAGTGCCTCTTAAAGCTTGTGGGTTAGAAGCACCGCATTCTTCAGCAAATTTTTTTAATATGGGACATGCTCTTATGTATTCCTTTGCGGAATCTGCAGAGCAGAACACATATATTTTATTTTTTATTCCAGCTTTTTTGCGATTGTCCAGTATGGTATCAATGCAAACATGGTCGAATGGCGTTAAAAGAACTGATACAGTTCTGCCAAGTTTACCTCGAATTGTTACCCTTGTGTACTGCTTTGCAAATTCTTGTGTTTTTTTTGTTAGTTTATTGAAATTATCTTTATCCACCTTTTCATTTATGGCTTGCGCACTTTTATAATTTTCCACAGTTAATCTCTCTAATTCACCAACCCGTCGACGGTTGAAAATGAGCAAGTTTACTAAAGTGCTTTGTACCAGCACAGACCAAGTTTCAACATCGAAGGTATTTTGTAAGATCTTAACAGCTTCTGTAGCTTTTTCTTTGACATATTCGAACAGTATTTTAATGTCTTCTTTAGTAGGAAGTATAATTTTAGCGGCGCGTCTTTTGGTAAATTGATCTTCAACAGCTTTTTTGTTGATATTTATAAATATGTCATGCTCCCATAACTTTATAAAATCGTTGACAGATTGTCGTTTTACCTGATTTTCCTCTTTAACGTGTTCCGCCCACAAAATCTTCGCAGTTTTTTTAATTAGTGTAGTTAATTTTGTAGCTAAGGAAGGAATTTCAAACGACATAGATTCATTATCCCATTTTGCAACTGTTCGTATACTTTGGACAATTATATCTGTGTGTTTGGGAAGAATGGCATCCTCCAAATCCTTTATTTCGTTGCAATTCTCTTTAAGACAAATTAGAAGGCGACCCAGAGACCTCATGTTTTGCCGTATCATTTCATGCTGAAACTTTTCCCGCTTCTGACACTCAAAGTTTCCATATAAAACAATCAGTCGATCGTATAAAACAGTGTCAGATATTTCATCATCCTTAAAATAGGGCATAACTTGGCGCCGTAAAATATCGTTAGCTTGTTTATGCATAAAACCTGTCACTTTTCGTCCATTTCGTATAGTATCGCGAGTTCCTTTTTTATAGGAGTTGCTTGAACAATTTCGTATATGAAATCGAATGGTAGATTTTGGGAAAAATCCTCGGCAAAATGTGCAGGTAATAAAATCTTTTGGTCGGAGAGTAGAGTTAGCTCTTTTTTGTCGAGGAACAATTAAAGTACCGGTGTTCAATATATCGTCGGTATAATGCAAAAAATCACCTTCTTTTCTTATTTTGTCAATCATATGTTTACGCTCAGGTCCACTTTTTGGGTATCTTAGAAAACTTTTTACCTCCTGCTCATTTTTATGTTTGGCCTCAAGATGACGAGCAAATTTTGTCTGCAAAGTTTTGCAGAACTTACAAAAATGTTGTTTGCATTTTTTTTGTGTAGAACATGGTATAAATAGGTCTTTTAAATCATAAAGAGGAGTTTCAGTAGTAGAAATAGATATACTATTATTTATGGACGAGTCATTTATGTTTTCATTTGTAGATGTTTGAAAATTATCATTAGACTGCATTGTAGAGTCTGGCCAATTGGAGCCAAGTTCATTAAGTTCGTCTGTAAAGCCGCTAACGAATCTTGAACTCTCAGTTTGGAAAGTCCCATCAGCTAATTCGGTAGAATCTTAAGTTAATACGAAAACAAAAATACTGTGTTAATTAAAAATTAAACGGGAGAATAAACCGACTTGGATGAAATTAAAAACAAAATTGCATATAGATTATGTGTACAAAGTTTGGATTATGTAGCTGTTGAAATGTGGACAGTATTGACGAAATTGAATTTCAACGTGAACGGAAAATTAAACAAATAATTAACTAGTGCAAATGGGCTACTTACTAAGTATATTCAAGTCTTCGTTTATAAATTCAGTATGTATTTGTTCGTCAGCATCTGTTAAATAAAAGATATAAACACATTTAATTTTTGCTTAAGCCAGTGAGAATGTTACAGTTGAGCAAGCCCGATAGTGGCATACCCTATACACAAAAAAAAAAAACTTCCATTATGTTATATGCGTTGTTTCGCGCATATCGAAGGCAAAAAAAGAGCGACCACGTTGCTGAAGGTTAGTGGCGTAGTATTTCAATACTTCGAAACACCCTTTTATTACAAAATAAATCCTCAGACAAAATGAGTTTAATTAAATGAGGCCAACCGATAAACACTATTATACTGAATAAATGAAAACATTTTTAATAAATAAATAATGTATCTCAAAAACGTTTCGTCTTCTTACTTAGGCAAATTACTTAGAAGCTGTAAAATCGACCCCCTATATACATGGTGTCCATTAAAGACCAGTAGTGAGAAGAGCTTAAAAATGATAATTGAAATGCTGCATATTATGTACGAAAAAGTTAATTTTTCTAATATAAAAATTTGTAACGGTCTAGAGTCTATTGTATATTCTGTTCTTTAAATAATGGTAATTTCAAACTTACTGCTCCGGCGCTTGCGTTCGGGCGGGATGAATTCCTCATCATTATCATTGGTATTGTCATTGTCAGGCTTACGAACTGATTCTTCTTCAGAAAGGAGATCATGATCTATCACAAAAAAATAATAATAATTAGAATTATATATGTTATTTTTTGGGAAGCTAAACAAAATGCTTACTCAAAGAAGTCCCTATTAGATATGTATTATAAAACAACATTCCGGTGTTGTAGAACAATTTAATACATACACTGGTCGTCACTTGAATAAGAACATAATTGAGTTCAGATTATTTTCATTTTTCCCCATTATACTTGTATTTTTATTACAAATTACTTTGGTTTCTAACTTTTTAATACTACCGTTTTTTTTTTTTTTTACCTAATTTTGGCTCACAAATACAGAACGCAAAAATGCACCTTTATTTTTGCAGATTGCTTTGATTGCAGCTCGTTCAAAAATAGCGCGTCATTAAAATAAGAACATGATACTATTAGTCTTTCGATCGCTTGTAGTCAGGTTTGACAGATATATGTTTTATTAACCGATTTGGATGAAATTTGAAAGAAAAGTAGATTACGATTACGTGTGCAAAGATTGTTTTTTTTTTTTTTTGTAGCTTTTGAAGTATGAACAGCTCGTTGGGTTTCTGCGCGCAACTATATGACCTGAAATCGGAATGTAAACTTTTTTTACGATTAAAAAAATGATGGAGAAACATCAAAGTCGCCAAGACGGTGTTGTCGTCTACGGAGATACATCGTTTTATAAAAGTTGTGAACTTCAATTTCTAACTGATTTGCAAAAAAGTTCTGGTGAAGAAATGCCTTTAAAGCCACCTAGTCAGAAATTTATCTTATAGTAACTACGTTAAAAGCATTTATGATTCTCTCCAAAGTCGTACATACCAAGGTACATTAAAAAAGGATGGATGCACACATTAGTGAAACATTATGAATATTATAGACTCATCATTAAATATCCAAAACATCCATGTTGTTATTTATTTTTCTCAATATTGAAATAGAATTAATAAGTGTTTTTATTCAAGTGACTTCAAAAAACATCTTTATTTTGCAGTTGAATTTGTAAAATTTGATTAATTAAGAGATAACGCTACAGTTGAGCAAACCCGACAGTAATACCCTCTACACAGGCAAACTTCCGAAACTGAGCTATATGCGCCTCTAGCAGAAGAAAAAGGAAGAAGAAGAGTAAACTTGATGCAGCAGTTTGTGGGTATAGTCCACATAGCAGTTGGCGGCTGTCAGTCGCTATACCAAATGCTCTGATTAAAACGCAATTTGTAGAGTTGCAATCAAATGAGTGTCTACGTTAAATTTTAAATCGTCCACTTTTAATAAAAGCCAATTTTGCTATAAATAGATAATTGAAGGAAAGCAAAGTATAAAGTATAATATTAAACGTACAGGATTGTAAAAGTATAAAGATCTTTAAACTATCTATTTGGACGATGTAATATGTTGACCTGTGTATGTATGTAAGTAAGAAATATGATAGTCATTCATACAAATGTGCGAATTCTTGAGGATTGTATGTATGTATGTAAATAGTACACATAAATTTGTATTTAAATAACTGCACTTGTACATACATACATGCATATGTTCATATGTAGAAAAACCCATACAAAATTGTGTGTATGCTCAAATGTATACATATATGTATGTATTGGCATGTGCACCAGCGTGAGGACGCGCAGTATTTTCGCGCCTTTATACTGGTATACAGGTATGTCTATGCTAACTTTATGTATATACATACATACATACGTACTTCTTTCTATATATATAGACATACGTACATATACATATATGTACATGTATACGCGTAATACTTTCAATGGGACTCACGCTGTTTGCGCGCCTTTTTATATACATACATATGTATGTACATAAAAAAATTTTGCATACACATAGTACATACATGTATACCAGTGCGCTTACCTTAAGATTGCATAAAGAACATACATATATATGTACATAATAATACATATGTATGTAAAATTTATACATGCATACATATGTAAGTGTAAAGTTGTAAAGTATCAATATGCGTATGTACTTACCTAGTTTTGCATTAAGCTCTTTGCATTTCTTTATTAATAAACCAGCATTATCTAAAATATACTGACGTATTATCCGTATTTATAATCTTAATAATTATTTCGACTTACCATTGGATTCAATTGTCTCGGCTTCATACTTGCATCCGCCGAATTTTGCTTGACACTTTTGCCCAGTACTATTAGAAATCTTTTTGCTGGGCAACACATAAAAATCTCCGCACTTTATTAAGAAGTACATATCACTACCGCTCATGATGACTTCACTCCGTGATATGATTTCAGACGCTTAGAGATGCATTGAATTGATTGGAATCAGTTCAATATAACGGCTCACTAACTTAAAAAAAAGAACTTTCAGGTTCATTTGAGTCAAATTATTGCTCGATATGAACACTTAAGTTCGATAACGCAATGTAGCAAAACAGTCTTATCGCAATTTTAATATTACCCTTACAGAGCATGTATTCTCACCATTGCTATATTTGTAACACATCGCATGTAGCTATAATAGGAATGATTGGTGTAGAATTTACGCTTGCTATAATAGCATGATTTTTTACACAATCGCAGTTAAATTGAAATTTGTAAATTTTTATAATGCCTACTACTATCAAAAAGCACTCAAAGGAACGATTATAAATAAATCACATTTAGTATTAAAGCGATTTATGGTTAGGTATGACTTTTCCACCAAAATGTGTATTAATAGATTTCTTATTATTCAGTAATATAATCTAAAGTTTCATCAAAATCGTCGCACTTTATCAAATAGCCGTCATAGGAACATCTGATAAAATAAAACAAGAGGGAACACTACAGTCGAGTAAGCCAGTCAGTGGAATAACCTGTACCCAGACAAATTTCCGTCACTGTGTTATATACGCCCCCTAGTAGAAGCAAAAAGAAGAATAAGAGCGAACTTGAAGCTGCAGTTTGTGGGCGTAGTACTAGAGTAAAACTGTTTTGCTAATTACTTTTCTTAGAATAGACCGATTTGAAAATTTAAAACAAGAGTAGATATTTATATATAAATTACAAGTGCAAAGTTTGGTTAATATTGCTTTTGAAATATTGATCCAAATTGAACCAGTATGCATATTTATAGCTGTCATCAGTACGATTGGTGAATAAATCACTCTTAGTCTTAGAAAACTATAAGTTTTATTATGATTTTCTCATTGTTTATTATGCCTAAGCATAATCTAAAGATTCATCACAATCTGAGCAGCATGTTATATAACTGCCATAAGTACGATTGGTGAATAAATCACTCTTAGTCTTAGAAAACTATAAGTTTTATTATGATTTTCTCATTGAAATCTATTTACGGATCTCTTATTATGCCTCAACATATCATATAGCATTCAAAGGAACAATTTGTGAATAAGTCACTTTTAGTTTAAAAACTGTATATCATATTACGAGTTTTCCACCAAAATGTGTATTTATGGATTTTTTATTATGCCTAAGCATAATCTGAAGGTTCATCACAATCTGAGCAGCATGTTATATCACTGCCATAAGTACGATTGGTGAATAAATCACTCTTACTCTTAGAAAACTATATGGTTTATTATGATTTTCTCATTGAAATCTATTTATAGCATTTTAAAGGAACAATTTGTGAATAAGTCACTTTTAGTTTAAAAACTGTATATCATATGACGAGTTTTCCACCAAAATGTGTATTTACGGATTTTTTATTATGCCTAAGCATAATCTGAAGGTTCATCACAGTCTGAGCAGTATGTCATATCACTGCCATAAGTACGATTGGTGAATAAATCACTCTTAGTCTTAGAAAACTATAGGTTTATTAAGATTTTCTCATTGAAATCTATTTACGGATTTCATATTATGCCATAACATAATCTGAAATGGCCTCAAATTCGGAGCACTATATCGTATAGCATTCAAAGGAACAATTTGTGAATAAGTCACTTTTAGTTTAAAAACTGTGTATCATATGACGAGTTTTCCACCAAAATGTGTATTTACGGATTTTTTATTATGCCTAAGCATAATCTGAAGGTTCATCACAGTCTGAGCAGTATGTCATATCACTGCCATAAGTACGATTGGTGAATAAATCACTCTTACTCTTAGAAAACTATATGGTTTATTATGATTTTCTCATTGAAATCTATTTATAGCATTTTAAAGGAACAATTTGTGAATAAGTCACTTTTAGCTTAAAAACTGTATATCATATTACGAGTTTTCCACCAAAATGTGTATTTATGGATTTTTATACCCTGTACCCAAAGGGTACAAGGGTATATTAGTTTTGTGCGAGTGCACATGGAACACATAGAAGGAGGCTTGGTAGACCCCACAAAGTATATATATTCTTGATCAGCATGACAAGCCGAGTCGATATAGCCATGTCCGTCTGTCTGTCCGTCTGACCGTCTGTCCGTCTGTCTGTCTGTATGAACGCAAGGATCTCCGAAAGCATAAGAGTTAGAATAACCAAACTTGGTATACAGATTCTCCTGAGACCGAGAAAGGACGAGTTTGTTCATTTTTTCTGATCCACCCCGCCCCCCCCCCACTCCCCCCGCTATTCAAGATTTTCTATAACTCCCGTAATCCTTGGAATTTTGAACTAAAATTTGGTAGTCACATTAGGTTAGTTATTATATAACCGTATACCAAGTCTCATTATGATAGAATAATCGGAAAGAAAGTTATAGCCATATAACCAGGCCCAATGCACACATACATACATATGTACAAGTACACAAAAACGCATAAGGCACGATTCTGATGTAAATGTAAATGTATGTATGCATGCATGGAATATTTTATATTTAATTTAGTTAATTAATTAAATTAATTTAGTTAATTAATTAAATTAAATTAATTAATTAATTAATTTAATTACTTTTTTGTGGGGTGGTACAGGGTATTTAAGAGTTGAGCCTGCTCGACTTTAGCATTCCTTTCTTGTTTATTATGCCTAAGCATAATCTGAAGGTTCATCACAATCTGAGCAGCATGTTATATCACTGCCATAAGTACGATTGGTGAATAAATCACTCTTAGTCTTAGAAAACTATAAGTTTTATTATGATTTTCTCATTGAAATCTATTTACGGATCTCTTATTATGCCTCAACATATCATATAGCATTCAAAGGAACAATTTGTGAATAAGTCACTTTTAGTTTAAAAGCTGTATATCATATTACGAGTTTTCCACCAAAATGTGTATTTATGGATTTTTTATTATGCCTAAGCATAATCTGAAGGTTCATCACAATCTGAGCAGTATGTCATATCACTGTCATATGTACGATTGGTGAATAAATCACTCTTACTCTTAGAAAACTATAGGTTTATTAAGATTTTCTCATTGAAATCTATTTACGGATTTCATATTATGCTATAACATAATTTGAAATGGCCTCAAATTCGGAGCACTATATCGTATAGCATTCAAAGGAACAATTTGTGAATAAGTCACTTTTAGTTTAAAAACTGTGTATCATATGACGAGTTTTCCACCAAAATGTGTATTTATGGATTGTATTATGGATTATGCCTAAGTATAATCTGAAGGTTCATCACAATCTGAGCAGTATGTCATATCACTGCCATAAGTACGATTGGTGAATAAATCACTCTTAGTCTTAGAAAACTATAGGTTTATTAAGATTTTCTCATTGAAATCTATTTACGGATTTCCTATTATGCCTCAACATATCGTATAGCATTTAAAGAAACAATTTGTGAATAAGTCACTTTTAGCTTAAAAGCTGTATATCATATTACGAGTTTTCCACCAAAATGTGTATTTATGGATTTTTTATTATGCCTAAGCATAATCTGAAGGTTCATTACAATCTGAGCAGTATGTTATATCACTGCCATAAGTACGATTGGTGAATAAATCACTCTTAGTCTTAGAAAACTATAAGTTTTATTATGATTTTCTCATTGAAATCTATTTACGGATCTCTTATTATGCCTCAACATATCATATAGCATTCAAAAGAACAATTTGTGAATAAGTCACTTTTAGTTTAAAAACTGTATATCATATTACGAGTTTTCCACCAAAATGTGTATTTATGGATTTTTTATTATGCCTAAGCATAATCTGAAGGTTCATTACAATCTGAGCAGCATGTTATATAACTGTCATATGTACGATTGGTGAATAAATCACTCTTACTCTTAGAAAACTATAAGTTTTATTATGATTTTCTCATTGAAATTTATTTACGGATTTCCTATTATGCCTCAACATATCGTATAGCATTTAAAGAAACAATATGTGAATAAGTCACTTTTAGCTTAAAAACTGTATATCATATTACGAGTTTTCCACCAAAATGTGTATTTATGGATTTTTTATTATGCCTAAGCATAATCTAAAGATTCATCACAATCTGAGCAGCATGTTATATAACTGTCATAAGTACGATTGGTGAATAAATCACTCTTACTCTTAGAAAACTATATGGTTTATTATGATTTTCTCATTGAAATCTATTTATAGCATTTTAAAGGAACAATTTGTGAATAAGTCACTTTTAGTTTAAAAACTGTATATCATATGACGAGTTTTCCACCAAAATGTGTATTTACGGATTTTTTATTATGCCTAAGCATAATCTGAAGGTTCATCACAGTCTGAGCAGTATGTCATATCACTGCCATAAGTACGATTGGTGAATAAATCACTCTTAGTCTTAGAAAACTATAGGTTTTATTAAGATTTTCTCATTGAAATCTATTTACGGATTTCATATTATGCCATAACATAATCTGAAATGGCCTCAAATTCGGAGCACTATATCGTATAGCATTCAAAGGAACAATTTGTGAATAAGTCACTTTTAGCTTAAAAACTGTATATCATATTACGAGTTTTCCACCAAAATGTGTATTTATGGATTTTTTATTATGCCTAAGCATAATCTAAAGATTCATCACAATCTGAGCAGCATGTTATATAACTGTCATAAGTACGATTGGTGAATAAATTACTCTTACTCTTAGAAAACTATATGGTTTATTATGATTTTCTCATTGAAATCTATTTATAGCATTTTAAAGGAACAATTTGTGAATAAGTCACTTTTAGTTTAAAAACTGTATATCATATGACGAGTTTTCCACCAAAATGTGTATTTACGGATTTTTTATGATGCCTAAGCATAATCTGAAGGTTCATCACAGTCTGAGCAGCATGTCATATCACTGCCATAAGTACGATTGGTGAATAAATCACTCTTAGTCTTAG